ACTAACGATTTGAAATTGGCTCTCTACTTGACTAGCCTATTGGTTCCAAGCGAATCGATTACGTACCCCATTCTAGTCGAAATTCTAGTACTACACAATGCTTGTTTTGATTCGCTATGAAAGTTTGACAGATAAAATGAGGGGTTAGTGGATTTTCCTATGTTTCGAGGGGTGAATCGATTAGCTTGGGACCGAAGATAGTACCAGAGCTGAGCCAAAAAGCTGAGCACGTTTCTTCGAGACCTTTTGGTCTTAGAGTTACCTTTATGGTACAACCATAGAGGTAACTCCATAGAGGTAACTCTAAGACTAGACGGTCCCGAAATAACGTGCTCAACTTTTTGGCTCAGCTCTGGGACTCTCTTCGGTCCCAAGCTAATCGATTCACCCCTCGAAACATAGGAAAAACCGATAACCCCTCATTTTATCTATCAAACTTTCATAGCGAATCAAAACAAACATTGCGTAGTACTTGAATTTCGACTGAAATGGGATACGTTAATCGTTTGCTTGGGACCAATAGGCTAGTCAAGTAGTGAGCCAATTTAAAATCGTTAGTTTCGTATTGATTGTTGGTAACTCTAAGACCAGAAGGTCTTAAAGAAATGTGCTCAACTTTTTGGCTCAGCTCTGGTACTCTTTTCGGTCCCAAGCTAATCGATTCACCCCTTGAAACATAGGAAAATCCACGAACCTCTCATTTTATCCGTCAAACTTTCATAGCAAATCAAAACAAACATTGTGTAGTACTAGAATTTCGACTAGAATGGGGTACGTTAATCGATTTGCTTGGGACCAATAGGCTAGTCAAGTAGTGAGCCAATTTAAAATCAATAGTTTCGTATTGATTGTTGGTACAACAGTGTACTTTGTGGTAAAATTAGCGCGAAATCTGTTTACATAGCAGTGGTTATCAAAAGAGAAAAACAATGAAGAGAATCGATCAAAGCAGATAGAACCATTTGAAATGTTCATCGAGAAATGCATAAATCAAGCTGAAAAATGCCTTAGGTCCTAAGTAACAATGACGGATTCATCGACTGTATCTTTGTATCCTCACGGCCATGTCAATACCTTCCCAGGTATTTTCAGCATCCAGATCGATTCAAGAAGCTTTTATATAGCATCTAATACGACAAACGACGATGGAAATGTCTTAACATGCAAGTCGACGAAGAGAATCTGTCAATGTTACTTAGGATCTAATGCATTGCTCAGTTTGAAATGATATAATCTCACACTATTAAAGATCATTGCCCACAAAACCAACTTTGATCAAATAAAAATAAAAATACAAGCTCATCTGGCGGCTAATGGCACAAGCTGTTAGGAAAATTCTATTACCTACAAGCGAACCACATTATTTTAATTTATTTCTTATGAGAAAGTTTGAACATACTGAGAGGTAAGCACATATCATCCGTAAGAGACGTGTGTGTGAGAAAATTTGCGGAAAAATCTAAGGGCACCGGTGGGATTCGAACCCACAATTCCCATTCAGTAAACGGGTGCATTGCCAATTATACATCCGTAGACCTATATGATCTAGGGATGTATTTGACTAATGACATTTGAGTTTCGAATCCGTTTCCCACCGCAACCACTCAGTATCAGCTCATTTTTGTTGTACATCTTACATGCTGAAGTATTTCCAGTACCATGTGAATACCAAATTCGAGCTGCCGGCCTCACCTACGACTACCGGGCCGTAGTGATGAATATCATCAATTACCCCGTGTACTGAATAGGAATTGTGGGTTCGAATCCCACCGGTGCCCTTAGATTTTTTCGCAAATTTTCTCACACGCACACTCGTCTCTTACCGGTGATATTTGCTTACCTCTCAGTATGTTTAAACTTTCTCATAAACAATTCAATTGACTGCAAAGTCGCTAAACCGTAAATCAAAGTAAAAGTAATTTAATTCTTCGCCAGTTAGTCGCCTAACCACTTCCTTTGTGCTATTGCTGTCTATCGATCAATTAGAGTAGATCTATCAATATCAATATTTGATGAACGAATGAGTGTTAAATCAAGCGTCAGATTTCAAATCAACGTATCTGTTTTTTTTTTAAGTCAATCGACGATTTATCTTAACTGCCAGCTCACCTTCGCAAACTAATATAACCGACAAACCGACATGAATGATCATACAAATTACAAATAAATTTCTGATCAAAGCACAAAACTGACATCTGCCGCTGTGTTCGCGGAAAATATTTATCCTAGTCATGAACACGCGTACACAATTTATGAGTTGGTTCGTGTCTAATCTATTTCGCACAAATTATTTTTATCTAGATAAAACATTTCTATGGTTTTGACAGATGGGATCGCTGCACATTTGAATCGGCCGTTATGGATTCTCGATCTAGAGTTAAGTTTAAGTTTCATGTCGGTTTGTCGGTGCTAATATCACCAACGAACCGACATAACAGCTCATACAAGCTACTTTCAAATTCGTGCCCAAGACGCCATATTTAAAATACGTTAAACACTACCGACATCTACTCATCCGATCGCGACATACCATGAACAAGGACACGAATCCACGTATAATTTATATTGCCTTATAGCGAATTCGTTTATTATTCAGTTCCAACCTGGATCGGGTATCAAGATTGAGTCTGCTTGTTTTCTGACAAACGTCAGTTTGCTCGTTTGTTTTTAAAACCTAGCTCAGGTTGAGGTTCACACTGACAAAAAGTTCGGTTTCGCACTGGGTTGGAACTGGTGTTAACCCCGATAATAAACGAATTCGCTATTAGTTTGCGTCTCACCTCGTTTGACAATTCGAATTGTGGACAAACGAAATGCTCCTGTGGCATGTCGGTTCGTCGGTGCTAATATCACCTTTAGGTAGGAGAATCTTTCCCCTACAAGCTAGTGTTGATAGTTTGTGTGACTGAGCTAGCAGTTGCCACAAATTGTGGATGAAGTGATTGCTTTCAAAATCAGATACCTACGTCGATTTGAATAGTTAAGCTTGAATTAATTGTACAGTCAACTTTCGTTCGTTGGGCTAAACCTGTAGCCCACTTAGTGAAAGAATTTTGTTAGTTGGGCTGAGCAGTCAAGCTGAAAATTGGTTAAGGGATAAACCGATTGTTTATTATCATCAGAATCCTCTAACAACTATCCAAATTGTTCATACATGAGCCCCTCGAAAAAGAAATAGCACTGTCAAAAATGACGTTCGACTTCGATTTAGGTGCCCAACTAACGGGAGCCCAACTAAAACGTTACCCCGCCTAAACATAGCCCAACGAGCAAAATTTGACTGTATCATGAGTTAACGATGATTAACATACTAACGACATTCCTATTTCAAACATGGCCTACCAACACCCAATCTAGTACATTAGCGCTCAACAAAAAGATTCCAAATTTCATCATCTAAATATTTTTCCAAAAAAAAAACAAATATTTCCTGCACGACAAGCACGTTATTATTACAGAATACAGCACAGCACACCGACAACATCAACAACAACATTGATTGCCTATATAGGGTAGGTGTACCAGTTATCGCTCAACGTTCCTATTATGGTGTATTCCAATTGTGACCTATGGAATTCCAATATGCCAAAATTGGAATACACCATAATATGAAAATATAGCCACCAACAAACCGTATGAATGGCCATTAGACTGATGCAAAATTTGACTTTTTCGCTCCACAGTCCTAAAATGGTTTCAAATTGGGTCCTGATTAGCCTACCAAAGTTACAACTCATTTGGTTAGAAACAGACTTCGCACAAGCCATTTGAAGTTTGCATGTAAATTACTATGGGAAATCTCAACTTTTTGTTCATTGCCTTCTAGTCTTTTTCCATATTGAGCTGCGGAACAGTTCTATAGCCATTCTTATAGAAAATTTTCTCAGCTTCAACTTATTAAAAGTTATTAATTATTTAAGAGATTGGTAAACTTATGACATGATCAAGCAGCTGCTCTGTAGGCAACACTGTATTTTGCAGTGTGACATAGTAGCCATGATTTTTGTGTCCTATTCAACGCCCCAGAAACACCAATGTTGCCTGCTGAGCAGTTGATTGAGCATGATCATAAGACATCAGCGCATTGAACCATTGATAACTTTCGATCCTTGCATTTAATCAAAAAGTAGTCTCCAGCAAAGTTGTAGCTGGAAACAGTTGAAGGCTTTTGAAGCAAACCGATATGGTGAATTATTAGATAGACATGAACAAAAATCTTGGTTTTACCATAGTAATTCTCATACAAACTTCAAATGGTTTGTGCCATCTCAGTTTCTCACCAAATGGGTTCAAATTTTGAGAGGTTAGTCAGGATCCGATTTGGAATCGTTTAAGTATTGTGGAGCGAAAATTTCAAATTCTGCATCACTCTAATGGCCATAGAAATTACCTTGAAATTTCTGCTCAAAGCACACTACTGACATCTGTCTCCATTGGTTCGTGTCTGATCTATTATGGACAAGTCATTTGTATCCACACGGTAAGAAGAAAGTACCCAACGGCCAGTTCACTTTTACCTACTTTTAACTAGTTTGCCTCCTTTTCTCCTTCTAATGTTGTCAAAAACGGAGTAGCAAAACCAGCCAATAGGGGTAGTATAGGAAATATGAAAATTCCATACTAATTACACACAAGTAAATGAAAACTACTTTGACACGCTTTACCTACTTTTGGGTTCCTGTACTATAGTGCCGAGATGAGTGAAAAGAACTTACTTTTGGGTACTTTTTTCTTACCGTGTAGATACAAAATTTCTATGGTTTTGACAGATGCGATCGCTGCACATTTGAAACGACTGTTATAGATTTTGGAGCAAAAGTTAAGTTTAAGTTTCATGTCGGTTTGTCGATGGTATAGCCATAACTGGTACACCTACCCTATGTTTAACTTTTGTGAAAAATACGAGTCTCAAAACAAAATTTCCCAGAGTGATTCACATAAAAGTTGCCTTGTATAACATACTAATATTTTCAAAACACCACCCGAATGTAAATACTCACAATCGGTCAGCAGCACGTCCTGATCCAGAACCACCATCGCCAAATCGTTCTCAAAGCTCTCCGCATCGTACTGTTCGTGCAGAATCACCTTATGCGCCCTTCTCCGCTGAACTGGATCCAAGCACTTGACCCCCTCGCAGTCCTGGTCCACATACAGCTCGTAATCACCCAAAACAATTGTAGTCCTACAAACAAACAAAATCATGGTTATTATCAGCGGCCGGCAACGATTGACCTATTAAGCCCCCTCCTTAACGCAATTGATACTACGAACACTTTACTCACTCGTTTTCAGCTATATTGGTCGCACAAACGGCTGTCGTCAGAATGTGCTTTGTCGTAATCAACGTCCCATGGCAGAAGTGAACCGGTTCGTCCGGGTAGTAGAACAGCGCCAACCAGGGGGATTCCTGAAGGCGACCCTCTGGTGGACGATCGCGATCGTCGTATTCCGTAGAGCCGCAGTTTTTGTTCAGAACATCACTTAACTCGAGCTGAGCCACATCCGGAAAGTGAAATGCTGCAAAAAGAAATGTCATCCTAATTTGATAATCTCCGCCATACTGCGCGTTGCGCACATTACAAGTGCGATTAATGCGCTTACAAAAGTGCGCTTTTACGTTAAATCGTTTCGGTGTCTTCTGCGCACTTATCCCTTGATTTAATTAGCGATTCCGCACTTTTGAGCAGTCCAGTTTCAAATGCAAAGTACAATACTCACCCTCACAGAACAGGATCGTCAGAACGATAAACAATGCACAACCGATCACGTTTCTTCCACCCATCGCTGATGACTCGTTTGGAAAATAATGCAAATACTGTTGCTTTCGCCACGATCGTCTGCTGAAAACTGAAGTCGCAAACGATCGCAGCAACCCGAAAGGTTTGATATTTCCAACATTTTCTTATCAGTTCGGTTTGTCCCATTTGCACGAATGCGACGACGGGATTCCCCTGTCCGGACCGGTACGTAAAGCGAACCCCACACGCATCAAAATATGTCGATACGAAGGGGAATTACAGACAATAATATTTGACAGGGTGTAGGGCAGGGTTGGCATGCTCAATTTTTCCCACTAATTGCTCATTTGTTGCTTTTACTAGAAGCGGCTGCTAGAAAAGAGTTTGAGGTTCCGAATTGGTACGTAAAATACAGTAGGCTTGTATTTATGCGAAAAGCTGTTATCAGTTTTGCGTCACAAAAACGAAAAGAGAAATATCATAAAGGTAACTCTAAGACCAGAATGTCCCGAAGAAACGAGCTCAACTTTTTGGCTCAGCTGTAGTACTATCTTCGGTCCCAAGCTAATCGATGCACCCCTCGAAACATAGGAAAATCCAATAACCCCTCATTTTATCTGTCAAACTTTCATAGCGAATCAAAACAAACATAGTGTAGTACTGGAATTTATACTAGAATGGGGTACGTTAGTCGATTTGATTGGGACCAATAGGCTAGTCAAGTAGTGAGCCAATTTAAAATCGTTAGTTTCGTATTGATTGTTGGTAAAACCAAGTTTTATCAACTGAATGAAAAGTTATTAACAAAAGAGCAATTTTTGTAGATAAATGAGCATGCAATGGTGTATGACAACACGATTATTGCCAATAATACTGATTCGTGTGAGGTCCGCTTAACTAACTACGTCATATGGGTGCTCCGTTCGCTATAGTTTGATGTCAACTGTTAGGCCGGTGACGTACTAACGTGGAACGCGATGCGAACGCTTCGCTTTCCGCGTCAGCATGTCATCAGCCGTACACAAAGACCGCGGTGAGTTGACCCCAGCAACTGATTGGAATACCGGTTGTCCGGTAGTTGTAGCTAAACTAAAGGGGTTTTTTGAGCATCCTTAGCTCTTCGTTCGTAATGTACTGGATGAGTAGAATTTTTGAATACTGTTTCAGCGTCTTTCCAAAATATTTCTGTTAGATTTGACAGTTAAAGGAAGATAGATTTAAACTATCCCGATGAAAATCGTAGATGCCGTACTGCGATTATCGTCATGTTTGAAGTGTCCACCTTGCAAATTTCTAAAAAGTTGCTTAATGAGCTTTAAAATAAAAATTAGAACTTTTGTTAGGGGGATACTACAAGCATTAAAACCGTACAATAATTTAATCCAATACCCGTTCGGAGCAGAAGCTGCTACCTAAATTGGTTGTTTATCAAACCTATCGAGAGTCTCTAATATGAACCTGCGATCGGCGATCTACAATCTCCCATAATATTCGACAGTGTGTTGAATCCAGTGAATCCAAGTATAGAAGATAATGATCTCGACCATACCATAGACGGATGATGAAAGCAAATAAAATACTTCCCCGATCAGGTTTGTAGCTCTGGGAGTTCGGAACAACTTTATTTTCTATAATATTATAAGTCGCAGAAAAGGGGTATACATTCATGTCAATTGAATTATGTATAAGCCATTTTGTTAAATAAGGGCACATAGCAAAACAATCATAGTAGGCGCCTGGCCCTTTTTCGTAAAAAGGCCTTTTAGAGCAATTTGAGAGGTGCAAGTGATAAGCCCTTACAGTTTTGTTATTTATCATTCCTTCCTTGTCTACCGGAGCGTCACCTCGGTTTTTGATCGGTGTTACGTAGATTATTGGCCGCTTTGTTTAAAAGCATTTGAAGTTTCGTGTTTCTCATGCAATATGGATTTTTTCAACAGAATCGATTGGTAAGAAACACATTCTAGCTAGAAGCTACTCATTACAACCATTCCCGTGTTTATTCAATTTTAGCTGCCGCTGCAGTTGTGGAACAAGACAACGGCAATGACAGCGATGAAATTAACACAACAGCCGCATGATTCAATCATCTCATCCCATGTATCGTTCTGGAATGTCCATTGTTCAACACAAATGAAATGGCTTTCGAATCCACAGTGTATTCCTCCGGACCTTTCGACGTCGGCAATCGATGAATCGCCGCTCAATATGACCAGTTTTGACGAAGATAAAGCTACTGAAAAACCACTTAACTTGATCACGGCAAAAACAACCCCTCACACTGAGGCCTCCGTAGTGCAAGTTTCTAATAATTATTGATCCGTATCGATCTCAGCCGTTTTGACAGGGCAGTCGATGCCACTTGATTCAGATCCTGTGCCTTCTAGTTCCGGAAATCGTAACCGTTCGAAGCATTCATCAATTGTTTTTTTTTTATCGAGGCGCTACTCTGGCGGCATCAAGGACTTTCCAATCTATCACTCCGTCGCTTTTGTCGTGTTCAACGTGGATCTCAATGTCACCAAATCATGGACACGCATTCGATTCGAGATACTCAATGTAACTGCCACTTTCATCTGACCGTGTACAGTGGAGTAAATTGAGTTGAAATTCATTCGGCATCATCATGTCTTTCATGGCAATCACCTACATTTTCTTTTATCAATCCTAAGCCTCGTCATCCATTCGATGAACCCCATACATTTCAACAGCTATAGCATGACTTTTCGGGGTCTGAACTACAGTTCCAGAAAACCAAAAATTGAAACATGCGGCGAGTGTATTATAGATTGCAATTATCATTGAAGAATGTCCACGATGCCGAGGAAAGATCCGCTTTGCAGGCAGTCCAGCATTTGCATTAGGAGCGAGCGAAGGCTGTCTACGATATGAAGCGAGAGGACGTCACGCGGTCTAAGAATAACTCTGACGTGTGCACTCCTTTGTTTGATTTGCAAAAGTGCTTGCCTACACCGGACTTAACTTGTGGTCAGGCCTACTACAGTCGACAGCTTTATACTCTTAACTTGAAGTTTTCGAATCATTCCAAGGTAAACATTCGACTACTTGTTTCCTGTGGGACGAAAAGAAGGCCCGACGTGGATCGCAGGAAGTAGGAACGTGCTTCTTCAGATTCATGAAGTGTTTGACGGATGACGGATAGAACGTAAACAAACATTTCATGTAAAATTAAGTGTTCTCAAACCGAAACATCAGCAACTCGACGAAGAGAACGTTTGATTGAATTGATTTTTACGTTTCTTTCAACTGATCCTTATGTCCCACCTACATGTGTTGGTCTCAGGGAACCAAAATTTACATGACTTTTTAGTAGTGTGAAGTTTATGGTGTCTGGTCACTCCCATATGGAAGTTGACCCAGTTCATGCGGCAATTAAACGTGCAAAAATACTAACAACTTCAACATAGAAACGCCGTGGGATTCCGCAGTATTCATTGCCCAAATCGAAACGCGTATTCCTTTCAACGTCAGAGGGCTGGACCTCCAGCATTTCCTCAATTGGAAATCATTGCAAGCACGAAACAAGAAACCAAACAAAGATGGCGCTGAACAACACTTCATGTTCAGAAATGTTATGGTTTTTGAATATACTACGAAGAAGCTGGGCAAGATTTCCTTCCAGTACGATCCTCAAGAGGAAGACTATTCTCTGCGGCTGCAACTAACAGCCATCAAACCAGTAAATACGGAGCCAATACAGTTGACTAAACAGAAGTTGGAATACCTAAAGAGTCTCCTGCCATACGTAGTAACAATCGATACTACGGAACATTTTTAAAGATTTTGCAGCCTCAGAAAAGAGAACGGTTGGCAGAGGATTACCATTTTTGAGGAAGACATGGTTTTTTCAGACGAAGGCTGAGGTTTAAGTCCGCTCCAGGAACAACTAGCATTTGTATCGAGATTTTTATCACTATGTTTAAAGACTGCGAACAAAACATTTTGTCACCATGCTAGATCCTACGTAGTTTTGCTTCGGAAATTGCGTTTTGTGTGAAGTTGAGTTCTTGAATTTTGCATCGTATCGTAGTACTTGCTTGAATTTGCGTTGCGCGTCGATATTTCCATGACCAATTCTCAGTAACTCACGAGTTTGGAAACCCTGCACTTATGGCTTTTGAGATTGTGTGTTTACATTTTCAAGTCAAGAACGGAAAAAGTTGTGAAACTTAATTCCAAGATAATATTATAAGATAATAGCCCCTCCGCGAGAAGGAGAAGGGTGACTAATGGCAGAAGCTGTCCATCCAGGAGAAGACAGTTCTGTACCGCGCGTCATTCTGGCAAACGTTTGCCTAAACCAACCATATCATCATGCTACTCGGGCAATGCTACAACTTGAAAAAAAAAAAGAAGGACTCGACCCACCGGCGGTAGTAGTGGCAGCAATAGACCTGTAGTAGGTTTCCAGTGTCAGGTAGGTACTGAATTCGTCAAGTGGCCCCTCTTTTTATGGGGTGGGGGGGGGGAAGGTGGAATGAATCTACTTCGTCCATGGTTTATCCAAATGTCGGTCCAGGTTCTCTATACTGGTTGCAGTCGTTTGATGACTAGCTGCTCCTTGTATTTGCTTGTTGTTCCTATTTCATATTTTTTTTTATCCTTGGTCATGCCGGAATCGCATATTAATCTCTCTGAAACTGCTGCCGGTTATTAATACCGCTCTGTAATACGGGATCCACTGACTCCACCAGCTTCCACACTAAATCGAATCCGAGTTCAGTCCATAGAATGAGCTTTATAGCTGCGATTGCAGATACATCTAGTAGGTCACCGGGTTTATCCATACAATTGACTCTCGGTCCGAATCCTACGCCCATCGAGTTAATACTTAATTCTAGTTAATTTTGCCCTATTTTGCGGGGCGTGGTGACTCTGACTAATTCGTTTGGACTTCCCTGAAACTATGAACAAATGGAAAAGCCGTATCGACTTTCTGTAGAGGTTCATCCCCCAGAAGACAAAGAGAGTCTCTTCAATTATACAATCTGTTATTATGATTGGGGAGAATTTCGCTGGAAAAAAATCCCTTTCCCTCTTACTTTGAAGTAAACGAAGAAGTAAACCTTAGCAACGATTGGCAGAATGTCAACACAAAACAGTGATGCCGTTTTATATTATATTTTGTGTTATCGTGTGCCATCGACGTACCGATCAGTGCACCGCGATGTGTTTCGCCACAATGTGCAGAGTTGATTACCCCTTGACATCGCTTTGCTTTGCTGAGAATAAGGGCAGTATTTTGTAAACAAGCAGCACATAAGAATGACATATGTGAAAAAGTGTCAGAAAAGGCATACACGGAACGAAAAACGGAGAATAATTTATTTTCATTATTTTCTAAGGAAAAAGGGTTCTATACAAATTTTGCGATCGACAAGCATAAAAAAGGGAAGAGCTTTTAGAATGTTGGTTTATTTCATTTCAATTCCGTTATAATTGCTTATATTTTGACTGATGCGCGTATTTTGTCTACTACTTGCAGACTCCATCAGTGCCAAGTACTCAACACCACTTACTTGGCACTGATGAAGTCTGCAAGTAGTAGTAGACATACGCGTATCCGTCAAAAGATAAGTAATTATAACGGAATTAAAAGGAAATAAACCAACACACTCAAAGCTCTTCATAAAGAGATTTCGTTAAGAGGTTCGACAAATTTAAAAGATTGATAAAGAGTAAAAATACTTAACAATTTTCAAACCGGATTATCTCGATTCAGATATTTTAGGCATAAGCCCTTTTCAAATGTTGCTCTTGATTGGTGAATAATTAGATTTGGCAACCCTGTATTTTAACAGCTCGAACAGTTTATTTTGCTTGCTGAAACCCTAGAGGATAATATTTGGAGTTAAGAGTACGTAAACCGAGACGCGGACACTGCTGAACGCTGAACGACGTAATGAGTATGAGCATGAGCATGATCAACCGCCCACGGTAGCTACTCTGTTTTTGCCAGTACAGCTGCAATTACACAGAGAACCAATAGGTGATGCGTGGGACTAGTATTCATCCTCAATGTGTAAATACGCTCCCGAAAGCTGGTCAAGAAAGGAATGGGTAGGAATGCGTTGACCTTGGAAGCCGAGAAATCCTCTGCAATTCCACGAGAAAGCACTGGGATGTTGGATAAAATGGTTGGGATTGCAGAAGGATTAGTTTTGGTAAACGCAGTGGCGTCTCGTAAACTCACTTTTTACCTGTTCAACGACTTTGAAAACGTAATTTAGAGCCATAACTATATTTAAATTGATCCCAAAATGCATAGGGTTTTCTAGTTTCACTAATTTGTATCGATTGAAAACAATAACTTTTTATTTGTTTGCGTTTTGAGGGTCGTTGAACTGGTAGATTGAGGTTAAGGCGACGCCACTGGGTAAACGATATGCTGAATTGATGTCCTAACGATTCAATAGCACGAAGGAGCTTGGGTTTGAACACACGATCTACTGTTACTGAGCAGCAAAATCGGTCGCCACAAGGCCAACGAGCTCCTTATATCACAAAACAATTACGATCAGATTTCTGTTCAATTTGTAGTTACTGTGTTTTGATCCCGACGACGACCTCACCGACGACAGCAACGATTGCTAGTGAGAAGAATTTGATATGGATGTCTAACCAACAAGTCTTTCCTAAAACTCAAATACTACTTCTTCGCACCCGTCCTTTTAACCGAAGTTTATCACGTTCAATAGTGTAAGGTGCTTGGGTTCTATCCCACGATCTTCTGTTCAGTAAGCAAAAACGGTTGCTCTATAGCCATCGTGCCCGTTACATTACCACAATCCGACTTAACAAACACCGACCGACTTAACAAACAGCTATTCAAATGAAGTGACGTCCCCGAAAGCAGCCAACAATGTCTTTCAAACTGGATCACGCATACATCCTTTCCGAAATTCATAGTTTAAACAAATCAAACTTTTGGTTATTAACTGCGCTTAATGGTTTCGGAACCCAACGATGGCGGTCTATTCTGTTGCGGGAGAGCTTGGGATTGAACCCACGATATTCTGCTCATCAAGCAAAACGATTCCTCCAGGGGCATCGAGCATTTAAAAACCGCAAAACTCCATGACAAAACACGGTTAAGCCCTCGCTTGGTATGTAATTTACAACAGAGATACGTGATAGTTCATATAGTTTCAGCGGTTGATGGTTCAGTGCCCGCAATACATGAAGTCGCGTTGCGGCCGAAGTGCTCTACGGCTTGGGAAGAGCGACGTAGAATACTTACGTATCCCAAGAATGACGCCGACCTGGGCGTCGTCGTCGTCGTGACCCCGATGCCTGATTTTCGGAGTGGCTTCAAATCGGGCGTGAAATTCAACTTTATCCAATTCATCCCCGGAACAATCCAACACGAGCCAATCCGAATGTTGTCTTGTTGCAATTTTTCAACGGAGTGCGATCAAATCCTGTAATCGATAAAAGATTGCACAATGAGAATAACCCAAATTTGAGGTCCGTGCCCCAATATTGGGAAAACTGCAGGAACTCATAGACTGAGTAAAATTTTCCTCAGTTTTCCTCAAAAAACTACTCGACTATGAGGAAAATAGACATATACTAATAGACTGAGTGAAACCATAGAGGTAACTCTAAGACTAGTAGGTCCCGAATTAACGTGCTCAACTTTTTGGCTCAGCTCTGGTACTATCTTCGGTCCCAAGCTAATCGATTCACCCTTCGAAACATAGGAAAATCCAATAACCCCTCATTTTATCTGTCAAACTTTCATAGTGAATCAAAACAAACATTGTGTTGTACTAGAATTTCGACTAGAATGGGGTACGTTAATTGTTTGCATGGGACCAGTAGGCTAGTCAAGTAGTGAGCCAATTTAAAATCGTTAGTTTCGTATTGATTGTTGGTAAAACCTCTCTCAATTTTGCTCATCTTCGATAAGCTTTTCCTGTTCCTGCAGTTTCCCCAAAACTGGGTAAATGGAGCTCAAATTTGGGCTATTCTCATTGTCCGTGTGCAATCTTTTATCGCACTTAAAATCTGCTTCCGACCAAAATGGCCTTTGTGTGAAATAAAAGTTCGTAACTGATAACAACACCCCTTTGGACTAGGGGCAGCCAGGGGTGATTCCTGCTTCACTGGTGTATTCTCTGGTGCAGGAATCGGCAGTGAGCTGGAGGAATCCGATGAAATACCAGCACGGGAGATAATGGACAGCATTAAATAAGGACACTTGGTGAGCTGTTTGACGTTCCTGATATAATTATGCATGCACAATCTGTACTTCCCCTGGTTTACATTTTTCGATTCAAGAAACTTGTTAATGTCAGACGACATCAATGAAATAGTGACATTTAATAGAATATTTTATTGAGCCAATCAGATGAACATAAAATTAAAAAAAAATTAAAATACTTCACATCAAAAAAATAATAACGCCTTCACATCATCAAGGCAAATCCAACTCAAACGATCACATTACCAACCACTCCACCACTAATGTGAACTTTCAAAACGACACAGACGACGACGATGACAACGACGTCACGTCGTCTGGTTGGGTTCCAGTTTATCCCGAAACCAGTTTGGCAATAGTTACCATCTTCACCAACATTGCAGGCAGCTTTGAAGTATGACGTATTTCCCCACACCGGTTTACGGTCGCTTTCCCTCCTCGCTGGCCACTGTCTGCTCGAGCCACTCTGCCATCTGTACCATATGACCGAACACGTAGGGTGTCTCGAGGCGAGCGTTCCTCACTCCGATCGACATCGTCCCCACCAGGTAGAAGCGCCCATCCGGACCTAACATCTGCAACGGTGCTCCGGTACTACCTCTCAAGCTTAGATCCTTGGTCTTTTGCTTTTGCTTTTTGTCCAAATCCATCACGGCACAAAACTGCGATGACTGATTTAGGTCGATGTCCATGTCGGAGGAAAGCTTCTGTGCACAACTCGACGGGCTTATCAGCTGCATTCGATACTGCATGGGAACCACCGAGATGCCTGCCTTCACGCTACCACACCATGCACTGAAAAATAAGGCAGCGTTGTCGTTCAGCGGGAAATCTGCCCCGCTAGCAACGCAGATAGTTCTTACAAATTCAGAGGTTGTATTAGCCGGGTTTTGCAGCTTCAATAGCACAAGGTCATTCGCCAGTCGGGGTTTGTTGTACTGGGGATGTTTGATGATCTGCTGTATCGGTATATCCTGAGGGTGCGGAGCGCACTTTTCGTAACCATCGATGTCCTGACAGTCTTTATCCGTATCTGTTTGATACTCTCCGAGACGCACAAATTCCCTGAATCCAAAATGCATCATTACATAACATTATCATACACTCCAACTCCACCACCACTTACAAAGAGTTCTGATTGTAGCCGGCAGCGAACACACTGGTCACGACGTAGTACGGATGGATCAACGTTCCTTGGAACAGATACTCAACTGAATCGTCGCTCTTGCGATAGCCCAATCGCGCCAACCACGGAAACTCCATCAACCGTCCGATCGGAGGCCTTCGGATTAGGTCCCCGTAGTAGTTGGGACCACAGCCTGCCGCATTGAAAACCCCATCGGAGGCAATCGATGCAGAAATTATCGCACAAAGGACAATCGCAGCACTACGACGAACGAAATTCATTTCTGACCGACAATCTGCACTGGAGGATTGTCAATTCGGGACTAAAGTAAGTCACTTTATTTGAAAAAGCTGCAACCTTCTGCTACACATCACAAATCATATTGCATGCAAGCCTGTATTCATGCTTTGCCTTTTCCGTATCAGTAGGCGCTTTTTTATACAATAATCAAACTCTCAGCTGGCCATGCTATGCGGTGCGGTGAATGTTCCATCCGAGAGAATCGATTAGAGCGCTTCGCTCACTCCACAGTGTCATCATTCGCACAAGAGGAAAGAAACAAAGGAAGCAGAGAGTGCTAGAAAAGTGGGTGGGTCTTCTGTTGGATACCAGTGAAAAATGGCGCTCGAGTAAGTCCATAACAGTGTTGATTCGAAAAATCATGCTTGTTTTGTTTCACTTGAACTTCGATTGAGTTCTAATTTTCATCTTTAAGGTTTGAAATATTGCTATTGAAACATATTTCTGCCTTAGTGTTGTTTGAGATGAGAACAACTTGAGAAAATATCCAAACCCGAATGATCATCCAGCGCACCAAAAAACGAACCCTCAAGTGAACGTGGACCCTACACGACTGCTTTTATTGACAATAATCGTATTGTCAATAAATACATTCTATATTGAAATCAATACATCGGTATTGACAATATTTCTGTATTCACATCATCAATATTATTGTCAATAATTCCCCTTCGCGTCAATATATTGAAACGTTTGAGATTCGATTCATAATAACTAGGGGAAATGGATGTAATGTCGGCCTAAATGCCCCTAATTTGGGCCCATTCATAAATTCAGTAATTGACTAAAATGTTCAATAGCGACCAAAAATATCTATTAGTAGCGTCCCAATGACGCGTTCATCTAGATAAAATTGATAAATAGCAGATTTTTAGCGATGGGCCATTTCCCCTATAACTATAATTATACGATTAGCGCGGCCTGCGTGAATAGTCGTGCATACAGCTCAACTAAACTCTCTATATGGATCATGGATAGCCTCTAACATCATTTTTATAAGTTAATTATTTTAAATAATTTTGAATTATGAATTCAACATTTCATCAAAATATCTTAATTTAACAACCAATGGTGTAATCTAAACCTTCTTACTTGTTACTTGTAATAAGTAAGAAGGTTTAGATAACACCATTGGTTGTTAAATTAAGATATTTTGATGAAATGTTGAATTCATAATTCAAAATTATTTAAAATAATTAATAATTTTCAATACCTCATGACGCGTATCGGAGATAAATCGATTTAAAGGTTTGGAAGGCCCACCAGCCGATAATTAAAGGATTTTGGAATATTATATATTGAGAAATCCGGGTATGAAAATTTCGACCATCTGAACACCCCTCTTTTCGCGATTAGAGCCATATTTAAAGAGATAAATCGATTTAAAGGTTTGGAAGGCCCACCAGCCAATAAATAAAGGATTTTGGAATATTATATACTGAGAAATCCGAGTATGAAAATTTCGACCATTTGAACACCTCTCTTTTCGCGATTAGAGCCATATTTAAGGAGATAAATCGATTTAAAGGTTTGGAAGGCCCACCAGCCGATAAATAAAGGATTTTGGAATATTATATACTGAGAAATCCTGGTATGAAAATTTCGACCATCTGAACACCCCTTTTTTCGCGATTAGAGCCATATTTACGGAGATAAATCGATTTAAAGGTTTGGAAGGCCCACCAACCAATAAATAAAGGATTTTGGAATATTATATATTGAGAAATCCGGGTATGAAAATTTCGACCATCTGAACACCCTTCTTTACGCGATTAGAGCCATATTTAAGGAGATAAATCGATTTAAAGGTTTGGAAGGCTCACCAGCCAATAAATAAAGGATTTTGGAATATTATATACTGAGAAATCCTGGTATGAAAATTTCGACCATCTGAACAGCCCTCTTTTCGCGATTAGAGCCTTATTTACGGAGATAAATCGATTTAAAGGTTTGGAAGGCCCACCAGCCGATAAATAAGATTTTGGAATATTATATACTGAGAAAGCCTGGTATGAAAATTTCGACCATCTGAACACCCCTCTTTTCACGATTAGAGCCATATTTAAGAAGATAAATCGATTTAAAGGTTTGGAAGGCCCACCAACCAATAAATAAAGGATTTTGGAATATAATATATTGAGAAATTCGGGTATGAAAATTTCGACCATCTGAACACCCCTCTTTTCGCGATTAGAGCCATATTTAAGAAGATAAATCGATTTAAAGGTTTGCAAGGCCCACCAACCAATAAATAAAGGATTTTGGAATATAATATATTGAGAAATCCGGGTATGAAAATTTCGACCATCTGAACACCCCTCTTTTCGCGATTAGAGCCATATTTAAGAAGATAAATCGATTTCAAGGTTTGGAAGGCCCACCAGCCAATAAATAAAGGATTTTGGAATATTATATACTGAGAAATCCTGGTATGAAAATTTCGACCATCTGAACACCCCTCTTTTCGCGATTAGAGCCATATTTACGGAGATAAATCGATTTAAAGGTATGAAAGGCCCACCAGCCGATAAATAAAGGATTTTGGAATATTATATACTGAGAAATCCGGGTATGAAAATTTCGACCATCTGAACACCCCTCTTTTCGCGATTAGAGCCATATTTACGGAGATAAATCGATTTAAAGGTTTGGAAGGCCCACCAGCCGATAAATAAAGGATTTTGGAATATTTTATGCTGAGAAATCCGGGTATGAAAATTTCGACCATCTGAACACCCCTCTTTTCGCGATTAGAGCCATATTTAAGGAGATAAATCGATTTAAAGGTTTGGAAGGCCCACCAGCCAATAAATAAAGGATTTTGGAATATTATATACTGAGAAATCCTGGTATGAAAATTTCGACCATCTGAACACCCCTTTTTTCGCGATTAGAGCCATATTTACGGAGATAAATCGATTTAAAGGTTTGGAAGGCCCACCAACCAATAAATAAAGGATTTTGGAATATTATATATTGAGAAATCCGGGTATGAAAATTTCGACCATCTGAACACCCTTCTTTACGCGATTAGAGCCATATTTAAGGAGATAAATCGATTTAAAGGTTTGGAAGGGCCACCAACCAATAAATAAAGGATTTTGGAATATAATATATTGAGAAATTCGGGTATGAAAATTTCGACCATCTGAACACCCCTCTTTTCGCGATTAGAGCCATATTTAAGAAGATAAATCGATTTAAAGGTTTGGAAGGCCCACCAACCAATAAATAAAGGATTTTGGAAAATAATATATTGAGAAATCCGGGTATGAAAATTTCGACCATCTGAACACCCCTCTTTTCGCGATTAGAGCCATATTTAAGAAGATAAATCGATTTAAAGGTTTGGAAGGCCCACCAACCAATAAATAAAGGATTTTGGAAAATAATATATTGAGAAATCCGGGTATGAAAATTTCGACCATCTGAACACCCTTCTTTTCGCGATTAGAGCCATATTTAAGGAGATAAATCGATTTAATGGTTTGGAAGGCCCACCAGCCAATAAATAAAGGATTTTGGAATATTATATACTGAGAAATCCTGGTATGAAAATTTCGACCATCTGAACACCCCTTTTTTCGCGATTAGAGCCATATTTACGGAGATAAATCGATTTAAAGGTTTGGAAGGCCCACCAACCAATAAATAAAGGATTTTGGAATATAATATATTGAGAAATTCGGGTATGAAAATTTCGACCATCTGAACACCCCTCTTTTCGCGATTAGAGCCATATTTAAGAAGATAAATCGATTTAAAGGTTTGGAAGGCCCACCAACCAATAAATAAAGGATTTTGGAAAATAATATATTGAGAAATCCGGGTATGAAAATTTCGACCATCTGAACACCCTTCTTTTCGCGATTAGAGCCATATTTAAGGAGATAAATCGATTTAAAGGTTTGGAAGGCCCACCAGCCAATAAATAAAGGATTTTGGAATATTATATACTGAGAAATCCTGGTATGAAAATTTCGACCATCTGAACACCCCTCTTTTCGCGATTAGAGCCATATTTAAGAAGATAAATCGATTTAAAGGTTTGGAAGGCCCACCAACCAATAAATAAAGGATTTTGGAATATAATATATTGAGAAATTCGGGTATGAAAATTTCGACCATCTGAACACCCCTCTTTTCGCGATTAGAGCCATATTTAAGAAGATAAATCGATTTAAAGGTTTGGAAGGCCCACCAACCAATAAATAAAGGATTTTGGAAAATAATATATTGAGAAATCCGGGTATGAAAATTTCGACCATCTGAACACCCTTCTTTTCGCGATTAGAGCCATATTTAAGGAGATAAATCGATTTAATGGTTTGGAAGGCCCACCAGCCAATAAATAAAGGATTTTGGAATATTATATACTGAGAAATCCTGGTATGAAAATTTCGACCATCTGAACACCCCTCTTTTCGCGATTAGAGCCATATTTACGGAGATAAATCGATTTAAAGGTTTGAAAGGCCCACCAGCCGATAAATAAAGGATTTTGGAATATTATATACTGAGAAATCCGGGTATGAAAATTTCAACCATCTGAACACCCCTCTTTTCGCGATTAGAGCCTTATTTAAGGAGATAAATCGATTTAAAGGTTTGGAAGGCCCACCAGCCAATAAATAAAGGATTTTAGAATATTATATACTGAGAAATCTGGGTATGAAAATTTCGACCATCTGAACACCCCTCTTTTCGCGATTAGAGCCATATTTAAGGAGATAAATCGATTTAAAGGTTTGGAAGGCCCACCAGCCAATAAATAAAGGATTTTAGAATATTATATACTGAGAAATCCGGGTATGAAAATTTCGACCATCTAAACACCCCTCTTTTCGCGATAAGAGCCATATTTACGGAGATAAATCGATTTAAAGGTTTGGAAGGCCCACCAGCCGATAAATGAAGGAGCCATATTTAAGGAGATAAATCGATTTGAAGGTTTGGAAGACCCACCAGCCAATAAATAAAGGATTTTGGAATATTATATACTGAGAAATCCTGGTATGAAA